GAAGGATGTGCAGCTATGACATACAACTATCTACTGGGGCTTTGGGGGAAAAAATAAATAAATAAAAATTATAAAAAAAAATAAAAATAAAAAAAATAAATGTTCTATTCACATGCATTCCTGATTTCAGGATGCCAATTTTACTGAATCTCTGTAAACAGAGCTAAGGTTCTCGACCAGACAAACTAAAACAAAATGGCCTTTTTTTGGTTTTGAGCTGGTGTCATCCTTTAAGTATTAATATTCGGCCTCGTTAAAGAAGAGTTTATGTCTTGCGGCAAGTTAAATAGAGCATTTCCAGAATTTCCTTAATGCACAGAGATATTTGCTTTCTAAGTTAGTAAAAACATACTCAAAAATTAAAATAATCTTGACTCCCTGCAATTATGCACAAGTTATAGGAAAACCTGGAAAAAGACTTCTGTTCTCTGAACTGTAAATGAGGCAGATCAATTTCTCACGGTGTGCACATTGGCCAAAGGAGGAACAATAGTGGATTTAAAGTCAGGGGACCTCACTCAGCGTTTCCCCATTTCGGTCACTAACAATCTGCAGGATATTAAGACCTGCCCTCTTTGCTTCATAAATTTTTATAAAGGTTAGCTGAAAACATGGAATCAGTATAGAGGATCAGAGCAGCCCTGGCTTTGAATTCTGGCTTAATCACTTATGAGCTGGGAGAAGGTGGGCAAGTTTGTTAATGTCCCAGTGCCCCGGTTTTCTCGTCTATAAAAAGGGGATAATAGATACTGGATATCTTTCCATATTATATTATTCTGTAAGAGTTGCTTGTTGTTCCTTTGATTGTATGTACCATAATATGCTTATCTCATCTTTAATGATTGCTTTTGGGTTCTATAAAGGCACTTTGAAAACCTGTCAAGTCCTATGCATGTATAATTGAATGTTGCACAACAGAAATATGTTAGTTTTTCTTCAATGAAATGTGGGCTAACAAGTGGTGGAGCAAAGTTAGATTAGTGCAAAGGATGAGTATTTTGATCTGGTAAATTTGTCTATAGAGAGGAAACTTTAAAATAAGTCCAGGATACTCCTGCATAATCCTTTCTGCAAGGATATCACATCTTTTGACTCCTTTTCTCCAAGGCTTTCTTGACTTCTGATTTGACACTATGAGGCATCTTCAGTGAGAGGATGTTTTACTTTTAGAAAACAAGTTTTAGGAGGAGGTTGAAAAGAAGGGTCGATTAAGATTGATAAAAGAATAGACGGTATTTATTAATTCAACCAGAATTCACTTTTGAATGTGCCAAATATTATGCTAAGTGCTTGGAGAAAGACAAGGAAATGTAATGAACACCGTTTTTCATTGTTTCAGTTGTATTCAAGTTCAGCTGCAAATAACAGACTAAGCAGCTTATAATGACTTGATCAATTGTGGGTTTAGTTTCCTTATATAACAAGAAGTCCAGAAGTTGGCAGTCTGGGGCCACTATGTGGCTCCACAGTGCCCTCACAAACCCAGGCCCTCTAACTTTTCCCTCAGCTGTATTTAACCTTTGGCTTTCATTCTCATGCTTGTGGGTAGGGATAAAATGGCTGCTTTATCTCCTGCATTATATCCACCTCCCAGGTATGGCAAAAGCCTGAATGTGCTTGACAGATGAGTCTTCTCACTATCAAAAAGCTTTCCTATAAGCTTTATCAGTTATCTATGTGTATGTATGTATAATGGCCAGAAACTTGTCACATGGCCACCCCTAGCTAAAATAAAGGCTAGGCAAGCTGAGTATGTCACAAAATACAAAATCTGGCCCCTATACAAAATCAGGCTTCTAAATATGAATAGAAGGGAGAATGAGTATTGGGTTGACAACTAGCAGTCTGCCACTGTCATTAGAAAATAGATTATCTTGTAATGTGGCAATGCTACATAACAGATAACGTCCCAAATACCGTTATACCTGTGGAGAGACAAGAAGTCTAAAAATTAATTAAGAACAAATAAAAATGGAAAGGCATGAAGACTTAATAAAGGCAGGAAGGTTATTTTCTGTTTAGAAGACAGAATAGGAAACAGTGCAGGGCCTCATAAGGTGGGAATCTAAGGTAGTAGAAAGAGAAATTTACATTGTCACAACACCAATGTGATCTTTATCTTGAACTCTGGAGAAATGGAGGGAAGGACCAATTTTAGGGAAAAAAAAATTCAGGTTGGTAATTGTATGCAGTGTTGAAATAGATTTAAAGAGAGAACCAAGGTGACGAGTACATTCATTCAAAAATATCGATTGAGTGTCTACCTTATGGTGCCAAGAGACACGTATATGAAAAAGACTTGGTTTGAGCCTTCAAGGAGTTTTCCTTATCATGGAAGAGACCCTCAAGCAGATAGTGAAATTCAAGGCAGAATGAACTAAACATTGCAATTAAAATACATAAAAGTGCTTGCAAGTATGGAAGAGGAGGGGATTAGTTTAGACTCAGAGAGGTCACAGGGAGAATCAGGAAAGGCTTCTGGGTTCAAGTGTCATAGGAGCTGAGCCCTGAAGGATGATAGACAAAGTAGGAAAAATGCATGTGGGAAAGAACTGATGAGCAGAGGCGTTGAGGCATGAAAGTGTTTTTACTTGGCAAAATATATGTGACATTTAATAGAATTTTGTTTTCTTTTCTTTTCAGGGATATGAACCCTTGTTTATTCACAAGATCAAACACAAACATATCCTGGCTAAGAACTATTTTTCTCAAATTCCAGTGCTGGCTTCATTTATACCTGATGGTGAAATAGATGAGATCAGAAAGAAATATCACTCAGAAACAACACCTAAGATTATAGAACTCCAGACGCCTAGTCCTTAGAAGACCCAGGAGCATTTGTTTGATGATCAGCATTTTTATTCACTGCTAATAGAGTAATACAGAGGTCACACAATATGGAATTAGAATTTTATCTTTTTATTAATTTTAATTATTTTTCATAATATCATAAGTATATGAAGACAAAACATCTCTATATAAATGATTTATTATTAAACCATTAGTGTTAAATTGAAATATAATTTTGTTATTGAAATTAATATTTTAAAGGAAAGAGAACACTTTATTTTTACATATTTTCACATTAAAATTTTTTAAAATTTCAAGTGCGTTATACTTAAAATCAATAGACAAACAAAAGCCAGGCTTAACTTTCAGCCCAAGAAATTTATTTTAGATAAAATGTAGTTATCTACTAGTCAGTATATGGATGGGAGGAAACATTATAGAATTCTCTTTCTTGAAAATCTTTACAGGCGGGATAAAAGATGCTGTGTTTTAATATAGGGATTTGAATCTTCACTTTTTATCTTCTACTTTCACCTTCTATCCTTCTCAAATCCCAATAAAACAACTGAAACTATTTATAAACAAATAAACAAAAAGTGCATTCTATGCTGGAAAACAGGGTAAATAGTGGAACTGTCTTTTGTCCTATGGGAGAAAAGCTCCCAGTAGGGCAATGATGAAACTGTAGGAAGAACAAACTTGGTCAGGTAAACTATAACAATCTCTTTCCCCAAAAAACCAAAGGAATAACCTTGACCACATGCATGTCAGGGATCTACAGTGATGAACAAGGGTGTATGAGTCAGTCAATAGGAAATAGATGGCACATTCAAAACAGGAAAATTCAAGGAGAGTTTATTTACAAAGGGAGTTATCAAGTGTGGGCTGTGTTTTGGAAACTAAAAGAAGAGAGCAGGAACCCACGGCTGGTGTCAGATAAGCTGTCTCTACCCCAGTCTTAAATGAACCTGGGGAGGGAAAGGTCTGGGAACCCCGAAAGGGAGTGTAAAGAAGATAACTGAGAGGATGAGTGACCAACTGTCATGGCAACAGCCAGCCCTAAGTGATCTCATGAACTAGAGAAATAAATTCTCTGGTCTCACACTTCTTCCTGCCTCCAGTCTCCTGCTTGGGTTTCCCACTGGTAGAAATTTCCAAAAGGAAAGCAGAAGAAATAGAAGTCTATTGACATAATTCATACAGCCTCAGGACAAAGAGTGGAGGAGATAAGGGGGAAAGTGGATCTGGATGGCTAAATAGAAGCTATCCATCTAGGGAGAATTAAAAGTGAAGATCTGTAATTCAAGTAGCACTATTTCACACACACACACACACACAATGTAATTATATATATATACACATATATATAGAGAGAGAGATATGTATATCTATATACATATATCTATATATAGAGAAAGAGAGACAGATACAGATACATATATAATTTTTCCCCTAATTCCAAGCAGCAATTAATGAGGCTGTTCTCTCACATATAGTGATCAAGGAATTCAATCTAAATATTAATATTTTACATAAATATTTGCCAACATTTTAACAACTTATTTTCTAGGACGTCTACAATTTTTTCTTAGCAAAAGCATGGCACATGGAGATTGCTTTTAAGGAACTAAACATTGAGGAGGGAAGTGCTATAAGCTGCTGTTATTTTCAAGTTTTCATGGACAATTCAGATGTTCTGGGAACTCTAAACAATAAATTATAGATGGGAATTGATTAGGGACCATTCTGATCAATGATAACAATTTAACACAGACAGAAGTGGGTTTACACTGGAATGTAAATGACCAGATTTTAACAAGACAGTTCAGGAGAATCTCCTAGTCCAGAGAAGGAAGGGCTGGGGAGGCAGGCAGTCAGGGGGAAATAGTCAGAGAGGGGCAAATAAAGGACTTTGAGAATTCCTCTCTTGCCCTAGGGGTGGATCAACTGACTAGGTAGCATTTCCTTATAGTAATGGAAGACTTGTGGAATACAACTGAGAGGGCCGGGCAAACCAGAGCGGTTGAATCATACATGAAAAGGGGCAGTACCTTAATTCAGGGCTGGGAGAATAACCACAAAGGGGGAAAAATAGGTCAACAGCAGAGAGACTTTCCCTAATAAACTATTCTGGTAAACTCTTTTCCATCCCACCAGAACTACAGTTCTCAATTTACACAGGTATCCAAAAATCCACAGCAGAAGGGGCTGGAGGAGGTGTCATGCTAGAGAGCAGTCAGTAGGGGAACAGTCAGGTTGCTACCTACTGGAATCTTAACTCCAGGATGCTGGAAGTCAGCAACTAGGTAGGCAGGTAAGTTCCCCTCCCTTCATAGTGTCTGCGGTCCTCTAGTTTATGACCTGATGAACTTACCTCCCGTGGCCCACTAACAAATGAATCCACAGAAAATGTTTCCTTCTTTCTCCATTGTGAGGACTATGTTATGTGGATAAAGGCCTAAACAGTATAACAAAACAAAATTTTATATCCCAATATTGTGAAAACAAGCTGATGAACAACAGTCACCATAAATATAAAGATTCAAAATCAAAATGGGACCCTTCTGAGAAATGATAACAAATATTCATTTAACAAATCACTTGATAGCACTTTTCGTCCTTTGGAGAAAAAATGATTTGGGAAAAATTGCTATTACATAAAGTAAGCAATTGCAGAATTACAAAAAAAACAACACATTGGTGGCAATGAACAGCAGATTTGGTACTTGAAAGCTAAAGCTAAAACGGGTTTGGTAGATTAGCTCAAGAAAGTCCCCTAGAATTCAGAAGAAAAATGAAGTAGTGAGCAAAAATCATAAGTTTAACAGCTTTGCTATATCTACACTAGAAATGACATAAGCCTAGAATGGAGTAGAATAAGAGAAACAATTAGCAAAGAGAGATTTAAAGCCAATTTCCCCAAACTAAAAAGACATATATCCTTAGCTGTATAAGAGTCTACCATGTACTGGGAAAATTAGTACAGAGACACACATAGACACAACCTCATGGCATTTCTGAATTTCAAGAATATTTGACAAATTCTATAAGCATTCAAGTTGGAGGGAAAAAAAAACCCAACAGCATAGATTTCTCTTCCCCAACACTAAATACTAGATGATAACGGAGGAATATTTCTGTTGAAGGATTTTGAATTTTGAGGGTAAGAAAAACTGACCTAAGAATTTTACTTTCAGGCAAATTTTTTATTTGTAAAGACAAGAGAAAGACATTGTTAGGCAGAAAGCACATCATCAGTTTGTGTAGCCATTCTGTGCTCCAGCTGACCTCAGAACTATGGAGGTAAAGAATGGGCATCATATTGTATAAAAAATGGTAGTGAGCACTACAACCTTAAGATCCTTTCTAAATGGTTATCATTTTGTGTGGTTACCAAGCAATGTAATGATCAAAAATAATTCCTCAAATAAAAATCTATACTTTAAAAAAAATAATAATCTGAATCTATGAAAAAATACCCTTACTATTCCAATAAAATGTCTGCCGTAGGACAGTTCAGAGGGGTAAAAGTGTTCCAAATCCTTGTAAGAGGAGAAGGGTCAATAGATATGTAGGCAGGAAAGTAGATATCCAAATATTTAATTTAAAAGTTTAAAGGCAACTGCTTTTGAATGAAAATGGAATTATAAACTCCACATTTCTGGAGAGAAAAAGGGAACAACAACAAACTTGAGAACTCTTGTGAAATAAGGGTTTTTTTTTTTTTTTGAGGTTAACAGGAAGGAAGTACATATAAGAGAAAAATGATTAAAAATATCACAGTGCATAAATTTGAGTGGATTAAAATTCTCTAGTAAAGGATAGTTATTCTCATATTGTATCAAAAGAGTGAACTATATGCTGTGTACCAGAGACATACCCCAAATAAAATGACATATGAGGGTTAAAAATAAAGGTATTTAGTAAAACTGTATCAGTCACAGACAAACAGACAACAAAAAAATTGGTGGCAATATTAATATCAAGGATGAAATTGAGAAGAAAAATAGCAGGGCAAAGGAAGTCACCTTATCTTGGTAAATTATAATTCCAATAAAAATGAATAATTAATCTCTATGTTAGGTACAAAAATAGGTTTTTAAAAAAAAAGTCAATTGAGAAATAATTCTCTATAGGCTTCTTATGTTTCTGCGTGTCTTTTAAGCAGAGGCACTAGTTCTCCCTTTTTTCAGACTTATTTTCAAGGATGTTTGTATAGCAAGCAGTCTGGGAAGATAGAGATAGTATTTATTGTTCCCTATAAAAGATTTAGAGTCTCTAAGCCCAGGATTCCTGTCCTATAATACAGCTCACTGTGTGTGCTTGTGTCATCTGGACGTTGTGTTACTTTTAGGGCAAAATGCTGATATACTGGCTGCTGCTATTTCTGTGAACAATAAATTGTGCTTCATCTCTGACCCAGGAGTCTCATGTCTTCTTCTATCATCTATGAAATTGTGGCAGGATTGTTAGCTTGCAATTAGAGTACCATCTCAGACCCTTCACAGTTCTCAAAAAAAAAAAAAGAGAGAGTAAGAGGTAGAAAATGCTGTTTCTCTTCTCTTTCCAGAAACACTAGGTGATTGATTGCAATTCTCCACCCTCTTGAAGTGAGGCAGGATTACGTAACATGCTTTGCCCAATGTAATGCGGGTAAAATTGTCTTGTGTCACTTTTGGGCACTGAAGGAACAAATAATTCTAATCCTATAGATATACTTCTAAGGAATAGAAAAAGTGAATACTCCCCAGCTCATGAGGCCAGCATATCCTTGATATCAAAATTTGACAAGGATAGTACAAGAAAGAAGATGATAGGTCAATTTCACCATGAATATAGATGCAAAATCCTAAATAAAATATTAGCAAACCAAACAAGAAAATATATTAAAAGATAAAACAACATGGCTTTTGCTGGATATTCTTCATTTGCCTCTTTGGGTATATTTCACCCTTTTCCTCTCTGCTTTGTGCCCTCAGAGGCTGATCTTTATGCACTTCATCAATGAGTGCGTAATGTCCTCCAGTTCTGTTTGGTCAATGGGAAGCATCAGTGGAAATTTGAGGTCTGAAAGAAAGAGGTTGAAATATTTATTCCCCTGACTTCTCCCATG